GTTGAAGTCTCACTCTGTCGCCCAGACTGGAGTGCAGTGGCATGCTCCCGGCCACCACAGTCTCAACCTGCTGTGCTCCGGCGATCCTTCCACTCAGCCTTCCAAGTCGCCGGAACTACAGGCACATGCTACCATGCCTGGCTAGTTTTTGATTTATTGCAGAGATGAGGTCTCACCAAGTTGCCTGGGTGGGTCTCAAACCCGCAGCCTCAGGCAATCCACTCACCTCGGCCTCCCAAAGCGGGGGATTACAGGCTGAGCCACCGAGCCCACCAGTTTCTCTATTCTTTAACAAACTCTGGGAATGCTAACATTACCTTTCTATTTTCAAGACAATCAAATCACTGGAGTCCTGAATAATATGATGAAGTTTTTTAAAATTAAAATCTAATCAGTGTCTTTTGTAACTGCTTTTGCTATGTGGTTAAACCTGGCTCAAAAGGTTATGCCCCAACTTTCTCACTAACTGCTATTTTCTGAGAAATACACACTACATTTACATTTTGTATAATACAGTGATTTTACAGCTCTTTTCTAAAACAACATTTAGCATTTCGCCTTTGTATTTCCTTTGTGTTATTCTAAATAGACAACTATTGTCAGAAGACATTTCTTGAGCCCTGAATAAGGGGAGGAAAAATTATAATTCCTAGTCTTTTCAGCTTGTCACTACATCAATAATTAACTTAAAAAAGAGAAGCAGTATAAAAAGATTCTTTAAGGAAGCATTTAATAATTCAAATGAATCTTAGCTTGAAACAGGTCACATGAAAAAGAATGGGAAACAAAAACCCTGGACGCTCTGCCTTGGGTGACTGGGTTAGGGACTCAGAGACTAAGAGAAACATCTTATAACTGACTTATATTTGGCTTCTTTTCATGGAAAATAGCACTTTTCCTCTCCTAACAGATAGCCAAAAATAAAGTCTTCATGAAGAAGAATGTGTATGATTGCAAGTCCAGTAATGGAAAAGAAAAGGGGGGAAGAAATAAAATCTTACAATGCAAGTTCCAGGAAAATATCATGATGAATGACTCCATGAGTGGTAATCAAACAGAAAGGCTGTGGCATTAATATTTATAATATTGTAATTAGCATGACAGTGCCTAGGCAGCATTATTAGTGTAACTCATCATATTATCATAAACTGAGTCTGCAGTATTTAGACAGTGAGTGTTCTTGCCTTTATCAATGACTATCAATATCCTAAGGTTGTTTATAACTTTAAAAAATTCACAAATGACTTTATATCATTCAGTGTAAATATCTCAAGGAAATTGTTCCTGACATGATAGTCTGTGACCATATGTAACATCGTTGTCTCAAGTTTGACCAGTTGCCATGTGAGTTGGAATGTGAGCAATCTCATTGCACTGTAAAGGTTTGTCTTTAAAGGATTTTCACACTCATTTCAAAACTCACAAGTTCAAATAAAAGATGTGTGATGTTGGGAACACTGTGTTGAGGACATGCATGGAAATGGATTTGCCAGTGGTTTGGATCTAGATTCAGACTTGTGAAGCCCAGTCTTCGTCAAAATTGTCAGTGCAATTTTCACCATTATCATTTGTTGTAGAAAAAGAGGATTTTGCCTGTGATTATATTAGTGACTCCTTGTTCAGCCCCAAGTTGAGGAACAGGCAGGTGGTCTGGTCGCCAATCTGTGCTGCTGGAGTCTCTAGTGCAAGCTAACGTCTCTAACACAAGAGGGACAAATCCCCCACTAGGTTAATATTGCTAGTAGTGAATCAAAGTGCTCTGGATCCAGGGTTCAGGTGGCTTCCTAATTGTTCCTTCTTAGTTTGGCTAATGTGTGTGTGTGTCTTTAAATGCAACTCATATGATGCTTTCCTTAGCTAAAGGAGCAGTATCGGTTCTTTGTAGTGTTTGCAAGCTAGAAAGAGAATGAAAGTGCAGATTCTTTTTAGAAAGACACCCTAGAGTTAGCTGGCCTCTTTAGTTAGGAAGCATTTGTTTTGAAAATACAATTTTTATTCTTTCACTGGTAGGTCAAGCTAGAATTAACTAGAGTAGATGTTCAGAAGGAACCTATCACAGTGTAGTGTTTGCCAATGGAAAGGACATGAGACTTTGGCTAGAGAAACAAGAATTTGACCAAGTAAATCATGGTATCTTTCAAGTGATTAGCATATTAATATGCTCTCCTTATGCTTACCTGACTTATGAGCTGATCAAATGGCCCCAGCAATGTCTTCTTTAGGTGGTGTCTTCGTGGTTCCAGTCATCTGTGCTGCAGGAGAGCAAGTCCTTTACAGTGAGCAGCTTCTCACACCTCAGGGCTGCTGATCCCAAGTTTGGTGCTAAAACACTGTGCAACGTGCTTGTGGGAAATGTAGGTTCCCTGGTGTACTTGCATCTTTCTGATTCATCAGGTCAGAGGTTCATTGGGAATCTGCAACTTAGCATCATGACTCTGATGGAGGGATTCAAAAACCAGTATTGCCAAGAGGAGTGAATAAGGGAATAGAAAAGTCAGAGGCTGGAGAAGTTAGCTATGAGCAGAACATAAGCATCTCTCAATGGAGAAAGCTGGTAATAAATGCCTCTGGAGGGAGACACGAAGCAGGAAGAGAGGCAGGGAAGAAGCCCAGGGAAGACCACAGGGGTCAGAACAGCCAGAAGAAGGGTGCTGGCAAGGACCCTGTGCAGGACATGAATATCAGCTGAGTTGAGTGTGCGATTGCTAGACTCATGGCATACTTCATTACTTACAAGCCAGGCAATCGGGCAAGCTTCTTCATCTTCCTAAACCCGTTTCTAAAACTATAATGAAAACAACCACAATGCAGTTCCACAATCCCTCATTAACAATTCTGAAGCCCAGAATGACTAAAACCAAATGGTTTCACAGAACTAAATGAACAGAAAACCTAGCCTGGCCTGATGTGAGGCTTTTGTCATCTTTATCTGTTGCTCTTGGAGAACATTTAAGTGTTTGATGCAGGGAGACTAACACGGCTGATACCAGGCTGCTACTCCACACCTAGCTGGGGCCAGAGGGGGAATGCTTGGTAAAATGGGGAATGTGAACCCATTTTCTTTTCTAAAGCCCAAAAAACAATGTTGGATCACTATATCTGACTCAATATATCTGGCTCCAAGGATAAGGGCTTGTGAAAAGTATCTAAGTGAAAATATAACTGCAAATATACCTTTATCCAAAAATTCATCTATAGAGTTGGAGGCAAGGTAGCTATTTTAATGCTATTAGGAAAGAGAATATTCGTATTTGGCATTTTTAAGTGTAGAAAATAAGACTTACGTTGAGATGATGTGCTTGAGACATATGAAAGGATTTGAGCACTCTAATATTTGAGCAGCAGATTTTGTGATTGGGAAGGCATCGAAGAAAATGTCTTCACTGTTCCATGCTTGGGCTGAGAGCAGGAACTCCTGAGCAAGAGTCTTGAAAGAGAAACAGCAGAGACAAAAAATTGCCGGTGGCCTGGAACCTGCACACGTTTCACATGCTGCTCCTGCATCTGTAATGGCCCTCCAGGTCTCCCACATCATCTTCTCTTGAAACTATTCCCTGGCCTCCACACCTGAATTAATTTCTTCTTTCTTCTTGAACCCCATTGCAGCACACAGCGTTGTATCACACAGCATTTGAAATGCTACATGTCTGTTTCTTTACTAAGCTATAAACTCACTTTTCTCATCTGTCTTTGTATCCTGATTCCTTGGACACGCCCTGATACACAAAAGAGGCTTGTAAATGTGGGCTAGATATGTGAATGAATAAATGAACAAATGAATGTTTTAAGAAAACAGTGTTAGTGATACCAATAAGAATTAGTAGTCTCTCATCATATCAAGCCACTACTTTCAAGAAATGAAAAGTCACTCATAAGCAGACCCTGAACATTCACCATAATACTGTAAGAAAGGGATTAGCGGTAGCAGGACATTGCCAGGGTGGGGATGGGGACACAATAAGGGTACCTAATCTCAAACCAGGTAAAGTGGGAACTAAAGGGAGGCCCAAACTTTACCTGTGTGATGACCACTTGTATACCTAATACTGTATTGAACCCCACATTTTTAAAATAAAAAATACATAAATAAAAATTTTAAAAAGTGAAAAGAATATAAATACAAAGAAACCATGATTGAACTTGAAGTCCCTTTATATGTATGAGTTTAGTTTAGTAGAGTGAGATGAGAAGAAGTCAGGACAGGAGTGAGGTGGCCAACTGAGCAACCCTTGTGCCTTCTTGGCTTGGCAAAATATGCCTAGATAATAAGCTTCTTGAGGGTTAGATCCCATATGTGGCCGGTGCCTAAGGCAGTGTCTACCATGTAGGAGCCAGGGTGTGGTAGCTGAATTGCTGAATGAATGTATTGATCAGTCACTAACTTATTTTAAGATCTGTCTTAAGTGTCTCTTCCTTTGTAAAGCCATTCATGACCTTCTTCTTTTCCCTCCAGGAAAGCCAAGTCACTCCTTTCTCTGGTTTCCGATAGCCCGTTTTTCTTTTCTTTCTTTTGTCATCATCATCTTCTTCTTTTTGTTTTAATTCAAGCTAAGATAGCTCATTTTACTGAGAAGCAAACAACTCACAAAGAACTTTCTTTCTCTTCTGTGTATTTTTTACCAAGGCTTAAGAATTTCTAGATTTATCTCTATCCAAACTGAATCAGC